ATCCAGGAGTTTGAAGCTGCTGTGAGCCAGACTGACCCAATGGCCTGCTAGCCTGGGCAACAAAGTAAAACTCTGTCTCAAATAAAAATAAAAATAAATAAAAGTAAGTGCTATTTGAGGAACTTCTTGGATACTAGAAATGTTCCTTTATCTTGATTGGGATGCTGGTTACATATGGCAAAACGCATCCAAATGTACACTTCAAAAGGGAAAATTTTATTCAATATTAATTATACTTCAATAAAGTTGACTTTTATAAAAAGAAAAGAAAGAAGAGAGCAAGAAAATAGAGCAAAAAGAATAAGAAACCTCACATACCTTCTCACTGCTCCCTCTGCCAACAGGTAATCACTGTTAACACTTTTGGTCTTTCCATACCTTTTTAAAAATAAATAGTTCCTAAGTTAGCCCTCTCACCTCAAGAGCTAGACTTTCCCCTTTGCTTCCTTGATGTATTCACTTATTTAATGCCTATTTATTGAGTGTATACTGTGTATCAAGCATTGTGATGAATGCTGGGGCCATACAGCAGAACAGACACAGATGATCCCACTCTTGAAAAGCTTACAGTCTTCTGACAGATACAGACAAATAAAGCAGTAGTAATAATGCAGGATGATCAGCACAGTGATGACATACCATGGGAACATGTGGGAGAGGGACATAACCAAGCTTAGGGTTCAGAAAGGCTTTTTTTTTCTTTTTGAGATAGAGTCTCGCTATGTCACCCTGGGTAGAGTGCTCTGGCATCACAGCTCACAGCAACCTCAAACTCTTGGGCTTAAGCAATTCTCTTGTCTCAGCCTCCCAAGTAGCTGGGACTACAGGCACCTGCCACAATACCAGACTTTTTTTTGTTGTTGCAGTTGTCATTGCTGTTTTTTAGCTAGCCCAGGCCGGGTTGAACCCAACAGCCTCAGGTGTATGTGGCCAGGGCTCTACCCAGTGAGCTACAGGTGTTGCCAAGAAAGGCTTTCTAGAAGTGATCTCTAATCTGAGTCTTGAAGGCTGAATAAGAATTAATCATGTTGGGCTGCACCTGTGGCTCACTAAGTAAGGCACCGCCCCCATATACCAAGGGTGGAGGGTTCAAACCCAGACATTGTGGCAGGTGCCTATAGTCCCAGCTGCTCAGAAGACTGAGGTGATTCTCTGGAATCACCTAAGCCCAAGAGCTGGAGGTTGCTGTGAGCTGTGACACTACAGCACTCTATCAAGGGTGACAAAGGGAGACTCTGTCTCTAAAAAAAAAAAATCATGTCAAACCCGGCCAGGGCCTGCTAACCAAAACCAAAAAAAAAGAGTTAATCATGGTGGAAGAAGAGGAACCAGATTTATTCTCCCAACATAAATAATTAGAAAACTACTCAAAATATATGAACAATGTTTTCAGACACTGAACAACAGAAATCTCAGGAGTGTAATCCCACAGTAGAGGATAACAAAAGAGAAATTCTGTAATTGCCCTGTATTTCTTTCTAGAGGCCACTTCCAAATCACAGAGCAGAGATGGTGCTCCCAAACAGTGCACAATGGTCCTGCTACATTGATGGGATAGGGGTCAGGCAGGGTGAGGTGGCTGGAAGCTGCTGGAAAAAGTTCTGGAGAGAAGGGAATTGTGCAGAAAGACACCTCCAGAAATCTCTATAAAGGCTCTCTCGAATCTTTGTTGAACACCAAGGTGCACATTCACACAGTAATTTTCACAAGACCGGGTACTACAAGGCACTAAAGGCAAAGAGGTAAACAATTCCAAGGCTCATACTGGCTCCAATGAACCAGAGTGGACAGTTATTGTTGATCATGCAGGAATTTAGTACACATCTCAAATGGTCATTTTTTTTGTTTTTGAGATAGAGCCTCAAGCTGTCCCCCTGGGTAGAGTGTTGTGTCATCACAGCTCACAGCAACCTCCAATTCCTGGGCTCAAGTGAGTCTCCTGCCTCAGCTTCCCAAGTAGCTGGGACTACGGGTGCCAGCCACAATGCCTAGCTATTTTTTGGTTGCAGCCGTCATTGTTGTTTGGC